CTCACTCACTCACTCACTCACTCACTCACTCACTCACTCACTCACTCACTCACTCACTCACTCACTCACACTCACTCACTCACTCATCCACCCACCTACCTACCTACCTACTTACCTACCTCTTACCTACCTACCTACTTACCTACCTACTTACCTACCTACCTACCTACCTACCTACCTACCTACCTCACTCAATTATCTTCCTACCTTCCTACCTAACACCTACCTCACTCACTCACTCACCTACCTACCTACCTACTTACCTACCTACCACCTCACTCACACATTCATACACTTACGTTCCCCCCACAGCGTCCTCCCTGGACCAGACCCGGTCACGCCGGAGTCTGCAGGCGGCGGACAGCTCTGACGATATGCTGGCTGACGACTGGGCGGCCTCCGTGCCCACCGACGATCTGCTGATGAGACTGGGGGAGGGCAGAGAGAAGCGCGGCTGGTGCCGGCCCAACATGACCTTCAACTCCATCCTGGGACGGTGCACCTACGTCTACAGCGTGAGTCTGCTTATAGATATGAGCGTCGTGTGTCTCAACGTTTGTGAGTTTTTTGTTTTTCAATGGATTTCTTTCTTTTCATAGGTGGTTAGCGGGCGCTCTGGTGTCGTTAATTGCTCCTTTTATCGTCCTTATCTCTTCTCCTATGTTTCTTTGTATGTTACGTTTTGGTATTACCTCTTATCTTCGGTATTTGTTTTACTTATTTGTGTTACAAGTTGCAAGTGTCGTAAAACTCTTACAACTGGGTGGTTGGCGGGTGATTTGATATGAATGTCTCCTTTTCACCTATCAAATACTAATCAAAGTCGTTATCTCTCCTCCTTTTCTTCGTATGTTACTCTCTATAATAATAACACCTCTAATCATCGGTAATTGTGTGATCTATTAGTGATGCAAGTGCTGTAGCACTTTTACCAAAACAAACTAAACTAAGCTTTCTTTTCACGCATTCTGGGAGACAGTTTGACGTTGTGGCATAGTGGTTTGTGAACTTGATTAAATGTTGGAGATTCGAATCCAAGAGAAGTCTAAACGACGTTTCTTCATCCTGCCTTGAACGTTCCCAATCTGTCAGCCCTGTGTTGCAACTACAGTCCCGTGCTTTGTCTTTGTTTGTTAGTTCGAGTAAAGAGAAGCTCAGAAGCTCATCAACACTATAATTGTCATTTAGTGCTGGGGAAAAGCCATACAGACATACAGAGGTAACAGTAAAGAAGTAAGACCTTCCAGTGGTGCCCTCCAATCACCCGCGTTCTGTTTTTTTAAGTGACCAAGATTGTGTATGATACAACTGCAGACATCAACAACACAACAACGTTCTATCAGTTAAATGTGGTCTGGGTGGTTGGATAGAACCGTTTGTTCTTCATTATCTCTCTATTGTTTCTGTCCTCCTGTCTAACTTTTTTCTAGTGGTAATGTTGTCCATCCATTTTAACTGTCTTCCTTCTCAAAATGTCAGCGCCTTACAGCGTGATACGAATTGTACACTTCCTTGTAGGTATATTAGCACAATATTTTTTTAATATGAGTAACTGGCAGGTGTCAACGATGATACAGCGTAGCTTTGTTTTGGTTCATATCTCTGCGCCATTTGTTGGGGGAGGGGGGGGGTGTCGTAATTGACCTCGTATGATGACATTCTTCTGTCGAAAGTATTTGCGTTACGTCTGGGGTGTCTAACAATTAGCAGTCTATTCTGCACCATCCCCCCCCCAAAAAAAAAAAATTTAAAAATTGCCTTTATTAAAACCTTCGTTGATGATCGTGTCAGTGTCTGTGAGAACAGTAGAACAATGCAGCGGCGAGGAAGGGTTTTCTGTCCCCCTCCCATTTTTTAAATGTCTGTAGGACTTTTTCGCGGAACTAAACGAACTTCATTGTGTCAATGCACCCCTTCTTGGCTAATAAAATATATATTCTGTTTTATAACAACAACAAAAAACTACCTCAGTGCTCACTCCCCGCATAACGGTGTCTGTTTTGTAATCATCAAACTATTCATTGTTTCAGCAGGAAGTATGAATTTAATACATGATTTCGGAAGGGGGGGTTTTTTCGATTATTTCCCGGGGGGGGGGGGGCGTTTTTCAAATCGAGTATCTCAGTCTGTCTGCCGGGATGCTGTTTCCCACTTGAAACAGACCGCCTCTGCACTGACAGAAATCTGTGTCAACCGAGGCATAAACAGCTTCTATTTAGAAAATCACTCCGAGTATAGGCGCTTTGGCTCATACATTTATTTTGACAAGGTATTTTAACATATGAATCCTGTGGCATTGTGTGTGTGTGGGGGGGAGTCTCTCTCTCTCTCTCTCTCTCTCTCTCTCTCTCTCTCTCTCTCTCTCTCTCTCTCTCTCTCTCTCTCTCTCTCTCTCTCTCGTTGCGGTTCAACGCGTCGCTGTCGCACACAGGAGAAAGTTGGGCTTTTGTTCGAGCATCTCGGTCTTTCTGCTGGGATGTATCCCTCTTTTCCCTGGTTG